CATTTCTGGCCTGATTTTATAGATTTGGAAATGGAGCAGAAAATTAATGCATACACAGTTTTTAACAATACCACACCAAATCCAAAATGAAAACTGAAACTAGATGAGGAAATAGGACAAAGTTTTTTGTCAGGAGTGCTTACTAAATTGGAAGACACAGTTTTCTTAGGATTCTTAGTAAGTATACTCAGTAGTATTAAAAATTGAGGTCTCATTGATTTGAAGGACTCTTTATCTGCATTTTTCTAATCTTGGGATAGAATTTTCTGAAAGTTGGAGGAAGGGTTTAATTTATGCATGCTTCTGCTCTAGGAAGCTAACCATAAAGAAAGGCATACTGGATACATTGTGTTTTTATCTAATTTGATTTTGTAAAAAGCATCCTTTCCTGGAATTAGTTTGTGCTTTCATTATTTGTTATGTTAGAAAGCTAACCAGAAACCTGTATTTTTTATAGTCTGTCTATGCTTCTAAGAATTCCAATTGCAGCAAATTTAGGACTACTTATTTTGGAGAAGCATTTATATGAAAACTCTACAAACAGTGAAATACTTACTTTGCTTGGTGTAAATAGAAAAAGGAGTTTCTCTACTATCTTCAGGTTTAACCCTATAATTTTCCACCAAGTATATCTCAGGAAACTGTTGCCTTACTGTGCTTACTGCCCACATGTTCCAATAGTAAACACTTGGCAATCATTTTCTGAGTCTTCCTCATTGGGTTCTGTCTCCCTCTGTGAATTCAGGGAAATTGAATTTTCTTCTGATCGAAAAGACGTAAACCACTGAGGTCAAGATAAAGCCTTGAAATAGAAACTCCATGTAACCTCGTCTAGATGGCTTGTCCACAGTAAAACCAACAGGGCATTTGATTTACTTTGTATAGGATTTTGTTTATCTTTCCTGCTTTTGCGTGTTAAGCTTGACTTCAGGATTAGTGCCTTCTGTTCTGACAGGCTGCCCAAAGCAAATGGCATTTTGGCCATGCTATATTGTCTTAAGTGTTTGGTGGATGTTTAGTTCTAGCTATTGACTACTGATCATGACTCCTTAGCATAGGAAATGACATTTTTTTCAAAATATTCAAAGCAGCAATGAACTATTGGAAAATGTATTTGAAGGAAAAAGGATGACAAAATGAGAAGGGCAAGAGGGATACCTGAGTCTTAAGTATGTGAACCAATTTCCTTAGAATTGGTTATGCTTCATACTTTTATATGGATTATATCCACCACTGGCAAAATGCTTGATGTATGTAAATGCTTCATTCATGGTCATGTCCTTATTTAAATGTCATTGTAATAATCATTTTACAAAGATGGCAACAGACTCTGAGAAATTGAATTTACCTGTCTAAAATCACATGGCTGGTGACTACAGTCTTTAACCTAGTACATACATACTGCCTGCTTAATTGCCTAAGCTTACTTACATGTATATAACTAATGTTTAAATATATATACATCTATTTTTGCTTTAATATGTTATTTTTCCAAATGCACAATTTGTTGTACCTGTTCATGCATCTTCACCAGCAGCTGGTGCACATCCACCTTGTTATTTCTTTCTTTCTTTTTTTTTTGTGTGTGTGTGGGGGGTGGGAAATAGCAAGGTTTATTAGGGAAGGGACATCTGTAAGGATGGATAGGCACCTCTCCAGACAGGACCTTGGAAAGAGTGCAGTCGCTCGGACTGGAGGGGGAGGGGAGGAAGGAGCGAGGTTACATGGTTGAGTGGAGTACACCTGGCCAGACAAGGCGGGCGGCTCAGCAGAGAGGCAGAAGGCTGAGCGCGCAGTCCAGTTGAGGCCGGGGGTTTTTACACCTTGTTATTTCTGATATAAGATACTTGGGTTCTGTGCTTTCCTAGCAGCATGATAAGTACTTTACTCAGCAGCTCCTGAAGCACAGTCCTAGTCCTGGTGAGGGAACCACAGATCTTCAGTTGCTCAGAAACCACAGGTGGGCTGTAGCTTTCAGTTGAGAACTTCCTTACAGAGTTTGTCAAGCAAAACTAGGTTTTTGATTTTGTCCCAGCTTTGCCTTTGGATCACTTCTTTATGGCTTTATCCCAGATTTGTTCACTGAGTCTTTTTCTTGGCTGACTTTCTGGCATCTTCTTATCAGTCTAGGATGGCATGGCAAAGTTTGGAGAACAGTGGCTACCACTACAGATTAGTAAGATATTGTATCAAATTAGAACTATATATATTTTAAACATAAGCATGTCATATCATATTTGACCAGTCCTTAGACTTTATGAGTTTAGACTCCCATATTTTTCAAATTTATTTTTTTGGTAGGTTTCAAATAGAAGAAAATATTGATTTTTTTTTTTTTTTGACCGGCAGAGTGGATAGTGAGAGAGAGAGACAGAGAGAAAGGTCTTCCTTTGCCGTTGGTTCACCCTCCAATGGCTGCCGCGGCCAGCGCTGCGGAAAATATTGATATTTTAAAAACCCAAGTACCTGGTATAGGTATTATGCCACAGCAGATTAGGCCACTGCTTAAGACAAGTGCATCCTTTATCCAAATGCCTCATATAGGGCCTGCCTCTGCTTCTGATCCAGCTTCTTTCTAATGTTCACCCTGGAAGACAGCAGATGATAGCTCAAGTACTTGGATTCCTGCCACTTGTGTGGGAGATCTCGATGGAATTCTAGACTCCTGGCTTTGTCCTGGCCCAGCCCTGTCTGTTACTGGTACTTGGGGAGTGAACCAGCAGATGGAAGATTGATTCTCTTTCTCTCTTTCTCTCTCTCTGTCTCTCTCTCTCTCTGCTTTCCAAATAAATAAAAATACATTTAAAAACTTAAAAACAACTAATACTTGCTAAGTAATTCTAAAACCTTAGTACATTTATGAGTGATTACCTGCACTGTCTTCCTGCATTTGAGCCTGAAGCTATTCAGCTACAGGTGAACTTCATATAAAAAATTTATTTTATTCTGGGCCACTAAAAGCTGCCAAAAACAAACTAATAAGCCTTTGTTTATTGGTGTAAGTTTGTTAGCACCAACTTTAGGATTTCATACAAGTACAAATGTAGAGTTCAGCATGAAATTGTCCAATTGAGTAATACCATGCTTAATTTCTATGAGGCTTTTAAAAATGTTTGTTTTATTTTATTTGAAAGGCACACAGAGACAAGTTTCTCTCTTACCTTAAATGCCCACCACAACCAGGACTGACCACCAGCCCAGAGCCAGGGAGGAAGAATTCAGTCTGGGTCTCCCACATGCATTGCAGGGATCTAACTACGTCAGTCGTCATCTGCTAAATCTCTAGGTGCATGTTAACAGGAAGCTGGAATGGAGAGCAGAGCCAAGACTCAAACCCAGGCACTCTGATGAGGATTCACATATCCCACACACTGGCTTACCTGTTGTTGTGAACGCCCACTCCTAAGAGACTTTTAACCATATAAAACGTGTTGAAAAAAATCTGTTGTTAAATAGTGGAATATCTTCTTATATTGAAATTTGTGAAGCATTTTTTGTTTGTTTCTAAATTGTGCTAGGGGCTGCTACTGTGGCCCTGTGGGTTAATCCTCTGACTGCAATGCCGGTATCCCATATGGATGCCAGTTCTAGTCCCAACTGCTCCTCTTCTGATCCAGCTCTCTGCTATGGCCTGGGAAAGCAGTAGAAGATGGCCCAAGTCCTTGGGAATCCTGAACCTATGTGGGAGACCCAGAAGACGCTCCTGGCTTCGGATTGGCCCAGCTGCAACCGTTGCAGCCATTTGGAGAGTGAACCAGTGGATGGAAGACATTTCTGTCTGTCTCTCCCTCTTAAATAAATAAATAAAATCTAACCAGTTCTCTTTGGTTATTCTAGATTCATTCATAAATATCAGGGTAGACAATTTTTTCTTTTAATTATTTATTTGATAGGCAGAGAGGGATAAACAGTCAGATAGACAAAAATCTGATTTGTTGGTTCACTCACCAGATGCCCCCAACAACCAGGGCTGAACCAGGCCAAAGGCAGGAACTCAGAACTCAATCTCAGGGGCCGGCACCTTGGTTAATCCTCCGCCTGCAGCGCCAGCATCCCATATGGGCACCGAGTTCTAGTCCTGGTTGCTCCTTTTCCAGTCCAGCTCTCTGCTGTGGCTTGGGAGTGCAGTGGAGGATGGCCCAGGTACTTGGGCCCCTACACCCACATGGGAGACCAGGAAGAAGCACCTGGCTCCTGGCTTCGGATCGGTGAGGCATGCTGGCCATAGCGGCCATTTGGGGGTGAACCAACGGAAGGAAGACCTTTCTCTCTGTCTCTCTGTCTGTCTCTCTCTGTCTCTCTCTCTCTCTCTAACTCTGACTGTCAAAAAAAACAAAAACAAACAAACAAACAAAACTAAATCTCAGTCTCTCACATAGAGGGCAAGGGCTCAAGTACTTGAGCTTCCACTGTTGCCTTTCAGGGTATTCATTAGTAGGAAGCTAGGGAATGAGATATGGAACTTGAACATAGGTACTCTATATGGAGGGGTGGGTGTCCCCAGCTGTGTCTTACTCTCTGATCCAAATGCCTGTCACAAGGAATTTTCTCTGTAAAGGATAGAATGTAAATACATTTAGCTTTCTTGGAACATAGAATCTCTGTAGCAACTTCTCAATTCCACTGAAACAAAGCCATGAGAATAAAAACACAGAGATGTGACTGTGATCTAGTAAAACTTTATTGTTTGAAGGAGTTAGGTTTGGCCCTTCAGTGTAGCTTGTTGATTCTGCTTTGTAAGGAAATACTCTTGTGATCATGACTTGTTCTGCATCTTTACATACTTTTAGAGGAAACCAGGATAACTTACGTGTGCATTGTAACTATAGAAACCATTTGAGTAGTATATGTTTATATGTTAGCATTATGTGTTATAATTAGCATTTATGTGGTTATTATTAACATATGGAAAAGTCCCAAATAATAATTGCCGATTTTAAATTACATTTTTAGTTATTTTTGTTTAAGTTACAGAGTGTTGTTTTTTTTCTTTACCCCAGGGAGACTCTATACAAGCAGGAGATGATTCACCATTCTCAGATTCTGTTACCTTGGAGCAAACTACCAGTAACATTGGTGGATCTAGTGGACGTGTTAGTCTGTGGATGCAGTGGGTACTCCCCAAAATTACTATCAAGCTGTTTGCTGCAGATCCTGACAATAAAGGCACAGGTACAAAGTTACTTTTCTTCTCTTTTTTACACTTGATCTTAGCCAAAAGACCAAGAAGTGATTTTTTCTTCTCTATTTTAAGAGTCAGATATTAAACACTTTCATAATCAAATTAGATTTAATTGTATTTTCACTTATAATTAGGGAAATGTGATTAAATCTAACTCAAGTAATTCCTATGTGTAACTCTAACATGTTGAATCTTGTTAATATTTTTTGACATTGTGATACCTAAATCTTTTTTGTTTGTATTAGACTTCATCCCAAAGACAATGAGAAAATTTCTTTTTTAATCATATTGATACATTTGAAATACAAGTAGATGTCATCCTGATTATAATACTTATATTGATAGTAATTTTGCTGTGAAGTTTGTTTGGGTTCATGCCTCTGTAGATATCCAGAATGTATATGTCCATGTGAATTGTAAAGTTTTATTTTTGATAATGAGGGACTATATTGATAATAATGTTTGCTTCTTATTGCAGAGGTTTGTATGGTCAGTGAACTAGAGGATCTCAGTGCTTCCATAGATGTCCAGGATGTATATACTAAAGTGAAATGTAAAATTGAGAGTTTCAATATTGATCATTATCGAAGCAGGTAAATAATAATGAATGTAGGAAAAACTGTTTTCTTAAAGTGATTATAAGAATTTTTGTTTTCTTATTTGGATCATTGTTTTTAGAAGCTACTATACTCATTCCCAAAGAGGGTTGCTTAATATTACTTACAGAATGTGATAAAATTTTGTTTTATAAGATGGCATATCACTAAATACCCACACTGCCTTATCAAATGAATTAGTTTGCATTTACCAATCACTTCACACAATTTTTCATGTGGGTTATATATTTCCTGCTATGCCTAGAGCACAGTGATGGCTCTAAGCTTTTGCTGTATGCTCCCCAATCACACTTGACAGCAGTAGATCATGTACTTTGTGGAGCAGCCGCTTGAAAACACTTTTTTTAATCACATAGATGATTTATATGCCTGTGGTGAATGTTTCTTGAACCAAATTATCCCTTCCCTGATAAATTTCCCTAGGACATATAATTCCTTGCAAATATTATTTGTAATAACAAATAAAAGTGATAAAAAGTTTTTCATATCTCACCAAGTTCTGTTATCCATTTTGTCATTTATTTCAAATAAAAACACAATTTTTTTCTTTATTACTATTTTTTTTTTTTTTTGACAGGCAGAGTGGACAGTGAGAGAGAGAGAGACAGAGAGAAAGGTCTTCCTTTGCCGTTGGTTCACCCTCCAATGGCCGCCGCTGCAGCCAGCGCACCGCGCTGATCCGATGGCAGGAGCCAGGAGCCAGGTGCTTTTCCTTGGTCTCCCATGGGGTGCAGGACCCAAGCACCTGGGCCATCCTCCACTGCACTCCCTGGCCATAGCAGAGAGCTGGCCTGGAAGAGGGGCAACCGGGACAGAATCCGGCGCCCCGACCGGGACTAGAACCCGGTGTGCCGGCGCCGCAAGGTGGAGGATTAGCCTATTGAGCCATGGCGCCGGCCTTATTTTATTTTTTAAAGATTTATATTTACTTGAAAGTCAAAGTTGCACATAGAGAGTAAGAGAGGCAGAGAGAGAGAGAGAGAGGTCTTCCATCCGCTGGTTTACTCCCCAGTTAGCTGTTTGGCTGGAGCTCTGCCAATCCAAAGCCAGGAGCCTCCTCTGGGTCTCCCATGTGGGTGCAGGGTCTCCCAGATGGGTACAGGGGCCCAAGGACTTGAGCCATCTTCTACTGCTTTCCCAGGTCGTAGCAGAGAGCTGGACTGGAAGTGAAACAGCCAGGACTCGAACTGGCACCCATATGGGATGCTGGCACTACAGGCAGTGGCTTTACCCACTAAGCTACCGTGCCGGCCCTTTATATTTTATTTTTTAATTAAAATTCATTTACTGTAAAAACTCACAGATATAACTCATGTACCATAAAACTCACAGATGTTTTTAAAAATATTTTCAAATGATATCATATTATCAATTTCATAATATTTAAACTTAGAAACAGCCTTAAAATACATTCCTTTCTAGATTCATAATATTTATTCATTAAACAATTTTTATTGCATGCCTACAGAAGCACATAAGTGTTTCTGTGCATATATTGATAGATAACATGTCCTAAAATCTAGTGTTTTTTTTTTCTTCAGCAAAGTTTCTTATTCTACATTGGAAACATTTGAGCTTTTAATCATTATAAAATATATAATATTGTTTATGTCAGTAACTGTCACATCTGTTAAAGCTAAAGATTTGTGTCATAGTTGTGAAATATAAAATATTAAGGGTGATTCAAAAAGTTTACAGAAAAATTGAATTAAAAGAAAAGTTTATTTTCATGTAAAAACTTTTGAGTTCCATGCATACTTTTTAAATAATATGCATTTTCCACAAACTTTGTGCTGTTCCCTCATATTTTATTAGATATATATTAAGAACTGTTAAAGTAAATTATCTTACCAACTGTATAATTGTTACTTTTGTCATATTAAGTGAATCACTGATTGGCTTTTGATAATGAAATCTTTAGACCTTTAGTTCGTTTCAGATGATATCTGTCATAAGGTTCTCTGCATGCGATACATCAATAGAATATTAGATTCCAAGAATTTCTTGATAATGTGAATATCTTCTATGTTGTAATCTAATGGACTTCACTGTTAAATGTATGTAATTTTTAAGTATTAAAGTAATTTATTCATTCATTTACTCTAAATGAATGATGAATATGTATTAGGTTCCAAGTAGTATGCTAAGCGTTGGGATAAAGTGTTTAATATAAACGAACATAGATCCTACCCATATGGTCTTTATGTAAGGGTGCTTCAAAAAGCTCATGGAAAATTGTAATTGAAATGTAGGTTTATTTGGTGCATACATTTTCAAAATTTTTGCCATTTTTTTTTTCATAATTTTTCCATGAACTTTTTGAATGCCTTCATGATTTCCTGGATGAAAAAGTAACAGCCAGTGAATGCATGTACAAATGCACCAGTGCAGATCTCTCAGGGTGTGATGCTAACATAACTTACTCTGTTGATTGTATTATCAGATCTCTGTTTTAGTTCAGTTTAGTGTTGTTTATAACTATTTGAAATGACTATATGTGCTCAATTTTTAACTGAGAAAAAAAGAGAACAGATAAGGTGAACTTATGTTTTCCAGGCCAGGGGAAGGTTGGCAGTCAGGACATTTTGAAGGAGTATTTCTACAGTGCAAAGAAAAACCTGTGGTGAGACTCATTTAGTAATTATAATTTTAAAAAATATATTTTAAACCATGTATCTTTGTTCTAAATGCAACAGGAGTAATGGTTACAAGAATTAGAGCTGAGAGTAAATTCTTTATGGCCTATTTCTCCAAAATTTAATTTTATAAATTGAAAGCTTCTTATTCTTTTGAGCTGCTCATGTATTGTAACCATCTCTCTGTTAGAGCAATTACATAAATTTATCAAAAAGGGAAAGGTAGGATTACTTTTATAAATACAGTTTGCCTTTTATGAATTATGATGTTGACTTTTTAGAAGTTTTTCTTACATTACAAGTGTGTTCGTGCTGGATTGTCCTTTACCATAAACTAAAAAGTAGTAGTTTTATACCAAAAAAAGTGATTTTTTTTGTTTACTTCCATTAACAATGCTTTTGCAGAAGATGGTCTAGACAGAGGCCATACCTAGAATGGCTCAAACCTAAATCTATGCAAATTTGAGCAGATTTAAAACTGTCCAAATTTTTTTTGCTTATGGCTTTTATTGCTTTTTGTCTTTTCACCTTCTTTGCTCCTGTCCATCACCTCAAGCCTTGGGGAAGAGTGTTGGTCTCTGGGGCAGTGTGGAGGTGTCTTCCTCTCCTGCACCGACAAGCTGAACAGACGCACCTTGTTGGTTCGACCCGTCAGCAAGCAGGACCCTTTCAGTAATTGCCCTGGCTTCTTTCCTTCTGTAAGAAATCATCTTTAACTTATGCTACAGAACTCCCAATAGGAGGAACCCAGAGGAGGAACTGAGCTATCCTTTGAGTCAACTCCTGATTTTAATTTTCCTCTGTGTCATTCACTTCATAAATTAACTTGAATGTAGTTTTAAATCGTACACTAGCTTTTTACTCTGAACTGTTTCTGAGACACTTGCACATGCTGTTGTCACTCTGGGTTTGTGAGTGCAAACAAATTTTACCATCAAATGAGAGAAATCAAAGTAGGATGTTAAGTGTGATGGTTTTTAAAAGTAATGCACGTATTGGATAATCCAGAGTTTCCATTACTGCTTTTGTTATTCCTTTTATGATTCTTACTGAAATTGCTTTTTTCCCCTCTTTTATGCTATTATCTTTTAACAGCTAATTCAAAGAATTTTATTTGGTGCCTTGTAAAATCTGGACAAATCTGAACTTTTGTCATTAAATGGATAGTAGATAAACACTAGTGAATTTCAGAAGATTAAAAATCTGCATTTTCAGGCCTGCGCCATGGCTCAATAGGCTAATCCTGCGCCTAGCGGCGCCGGCACACCGAGTTCTAGTCCCGGTCGGGGCGCCGGATTCTGTCCCAGTTGCCCCTCTTCCAGGCCAGCTCTCTGCTATGGCCAGGGAGTGCAGTGGAGGATGGCCCAAGTGCTTGGGCCCTGCACCCCATGGGAGACCAGGAGAAGCACCTGGCTCCTGCCTTTGGATCAGCATGGTGCGCCGGCCATTGGAGGGTGAACCAACGGCAAAGGAAGACCTTTCTCTCTTTCTCTGTCTCTGTCTCTCACTGTCCACTCTGCCTGTAAAAAAAAAAAAAAAAATCTGCATTTTCTAATGATAAAACATACCTCAATTTTTTCCTTAAGCCAGTTATTCTAAGTGATAGTCTTAAAACGAGTAAAAATATACTTCTAAATATTAAGAGCAAATTATCACAGATGGTAGTTGTTATTTAAGTATTAATTAAATCACTACAAAAATTGCTAGGTATTTTCTCAGCATATCTGAACTATTTTCTTTTTGGTAGCTCAGAAGAGATTTAAGACATGTATCCTATGATTATAAAAACACTTCATATAATTTTGTTCATGCATTTAATATTTAATCATTTCTTTGTGAAGCACATGTTGTTTCTGATTTGATTTTGAGCTTTTTCTAGCATATTCTGTCCTTATTACTGAGGAAAATAGTCTCTAAAATGTGACCTTTTGGTTTAGATTTTTTTTCCTCAGTTTGTGTATTAGTATCTATTAGGAACATTGCTAATAATTTTAACATGTATCCATTAACAACCAAAATTTATTATTAATGTCCTTTAAAAATTTCTTGATTTTTTTATCTGACTTTTTAAAGTTAAATACCTGCATTGAAATTTATATAATTGTTAGTGTTTGCTAACTTTTCACTTTAAATAATGTAAAGTATTGATTGGTACTATATTTAAAGTAATATGTATATTACTTCAACTCCAGCAGGTATTCATTTTTTTCCCTTATTTAAAAAAGTTAGTGATGTGGCAATCTGAAAAATAAAAACTCTCCCTTTTATGTTATCTGCTTGTCAAGAGTATTTATGTTCAGTATGCTTAAAAATGTTTTTCAAAATCAAAACATTCATACTTTGAAATACTTTTCCAGGATTCAGATGTTGTTACTAATAAACATATATTATGAATTGGCCTATTTATATCAGTGGTCAGTGCCACCTTCTTCCCAAAGTCCACTTTTGACCCCAAGAACAGACAACATTGCTGTGATCTCTTCCAAAGCAATCCATCTTCATTCATTCTTGCCTGCTGTCCAGCAACAGGGTAGTAAGATTGGAGTATTTCTTGCTTTATGTTGCTCTTGTTGCAACCACATGAGAGGAAGCAAAAGAGGTTTAGGAGTTATGGGATAACATAGGCTCAGATACATTACTGCTTTGCTACGTCTCACTTTTTTCCTGTTAATGGGAATATATTTCAATCTTTTCTTCTCCAGTTTAGGCTCCTCTCTTAATATCATCACTTTTGGACTCTAATAATTTAAAAGCTTTTTCAGGTGTTGAAACAAGCATTGGGAATTGGGCATATACCAATTGTGTTCTAGTTTTATGTTTAGTAATTTGCAACATAGGATTTTATGTATCTTAATTGGTACTGCAAAATGTTTTTCAAGAGATAGCCTCATATGTTGAGGAACACAAAAGTGTCTATCTTACTCTACTTTTAAAAAGTATACTGTTTTACTGTGATTTGTTTATAGCATACAATTTGAATAGAGTTAATTGAGCTAGTTTTAACAGAAATATTAAGGTTTTATGAAATATAGTTTAGTATCAGTTAAATGTATGTGTACTAGTATGGTAATATATCCAAAGAATATGAGTTTTTAAGAGAGTTGTTAGGTTTTATAAATACTGAGCCTAGTCAGATTCTGAAAGAAATGTTTTATTTTTGTGTCACATTATCATTTTCAGTAAACTATAGTGATTTGTTCTTTTATTGAAGTATGAAATCAAAAAGGCTATTTTTATGGGCTTGGTCTTTGTGTGAATTAGCCAAATTATTAAAGAAAACTCTTAATAAATTTTATGTCCTGTAAAGATAAATCTCATTTCTACAAGTTTCTAAATAATTACCGTTTTGTAATTCATATTATTATGGTATATTGGTACTATTGATGAAAAATCATCCAGAAATGACAAAATAGATTCAGGAGACAACCTCCAAATCCTTAATGTTATTAAAAACGTAAAAATCATAGATGCAGACATAAAGAAATTAACTACCTCTCTTGAAGAGATTAGTTATGTTCCAAAACTCAGGATTCTCTGCTTTCATTTGGTCATTCTTAAAGTCTTAGACACTTTTCCAAAGCTGCAAAATTATCAGTCATGTGTTTTATTAAGAGGTATGGAATGAGTAAAAGTCCAACATGCTAAGGGTATTTTGTTTTTTCTAACAGCTTTTCTTTCATTTATTGTTTAATGAGATGTATATTGTGATTTCCTTTTCCTGGAACAGACAACTACAAAACTTCTAGATGGTTCTCATCAGCAGCATGGATTTCTCTCTCTGACATATACAAAAGCTGTAACGAAAAATGTCCGCCACAAGTTAACATCGAGAAACGAACGAAGATGCTTTCATAAATTATCTGAAGGTTTAACAGATGGTTCCCCTCATTTTCTTCATGAAATTCTTCTTTCAGCACAAGCCTTTGATATTGTCCTCTGTTTTCCTTTACTTAATGCCATTGCAAGTATATTTCAAGCAAAACTACCAAGAACCCAAAAGGAGAAAAGAAAGTCTCCTGGTCTTCCCATGAGGACCCATACACTGACTTCTCGCAGTTTACCATTGATTTATATCAACACAAGTGTGATCAGAGTTTTTGTTCCAAAAACAGAAGAAATGCAGCCAGCTGTTGAAGGTATTGTCTCCTGATTTTTTTTTGTCCTTATTATAAGTAATTTTCTTCTAGAGTGCTGAGTTTTCTGGGTTTTTAAAAAAATACTGGAAACTGCTTGAACTTTGCAGTTTAGTATATTTTTCAAAGAGTAAATATAGTCATTCTCCAGCTAAATCTTTAGGAGATATAACAGAATACTGGGTAAGTGTCTGACTTATTTTGTAGAGTAAGAAATACGAGATCTTTTTTCTTCAGAGCTTTTGCTATTAAAGCTTATATTGCCTGTTATTTGTTTCATTAGACAAATTAGGTCATTTATATCTAAGATAAATAAAGTTTTGTTTAAAAATAGACTACTCATATTGATAAAATATATAAAAGTTCTATGATTTAAAACCCTGCCTAATGATTGAGAATGGGGAAAACAATATAATACATCAAGGTTCCTTTGACTTTCTCTAGGCCTCTCAGTGCCTTCTAAAATTATTCTATGTCTTTAACTGCATTATGTTGATAATCTCACTACCTCTACCCACAAGAATGATTTTGAAATTTTTATTTCTCACCAAGTTATAAAAGAATGGAGAACTTTAATGGCTTTCAGAGACATTATAGTTTAGTGCCTAATAAATGGACTTTGAAATTACGCAGACCTGAGGTCAAATCCCAGTTATGAACTTATAAAACTTGAAAGAGTTAATCTAAGATCCTTAAGTCTAAAAAAAATAGTGATAAGGGTTGGCGCTATGGTGTGGTAGGTTAAGCCTCTGCCTACAGCACTGGCATCCCATATGTGCACCTGTTCATGTCCTGGCTCCTCCTCTTCCAATCCAGCTCTCTGCTTATTACCTGGGAAAATATTGGAAGATGGCCCAAGTGCTTGGGCCTCTGCACCCACATGGGAGACCCAGAAGAAGCTCCTGGCCCCTGGCTTCAGATTGGCCTAGCTCTGGTAGTTGTGGCCATTTGGGGTGTGAACCATCAGATGGAAGACCTTCTTTCCATCTCTCTCTCTCCCCCTCTAACTCTGCCTCTCAAATACATAAAATCTTAAAAAAAAAAAGTGATAACAGTATCATACTTGATGGTAGGCTACATTAATATTTTATTTTCAAGTGATGAAAGTGTGAGAATGTGTGCATAGTGCCATTCCCACAGTAAACTCTCAATAAATGGCATTATTATCATGACAAGGCTATATCATTTCTTTTGAAGTAGAATTTCCACATTTTACTACCACTTGTAGCTCTTTGGTCAAAACTTTACACAATTGTACCCAACTACAGAAAGTAGGATACAGTCTTTTATCTAGATTGTGCAATGCTTAGTCCATTACTGGTACTATACCAAAAAAGCTTAAATTGGACCATTTATAAAAAATAAAAATCTGTTTATCACGGTTCTGGAGGTTTCACAGCCCCAGATCAAGTCTCTAGAAGATTTGTTGTCTGGTGAGGCCTACTGTCTTGTTTCCAACATGGTGGCTTATTGCTGTGTCCTCACATGACAGAAGGCAGAGGGAAAAAAGAGCAAACTTGCTCCCTCAGGCCCATTTACAACAACAATCCCATCCATGTGCATGGAGCCCTCATGGTCTAATCACTTCCTAAAGGCTCAGTTTCTACAATCCATCATTTTGGGGTTTAAGTTCCTGTAAATCATAGTGTATACTCTGATAATAATTAGGGCACTGTGAACTTGAGAAAAAAGAGAGAATGGATATTTGAGGGACATGTAATAATCTGTGCCACATAAATACAGCAGAAGTCTTTTTTTTCTTTTTTCCTCTGAATTAGTGTGCAAAAAAGGAAGAATTAAAGGTCCTGATGATAAATAACAATGGAAAAACACCTTGGCTCCCTACTTCCATTCCCTTCCAGTTCTGTCTCTTCATCTGTCTACCATAGTCATATGAAGTTACAGAAGATAGTCTGTTTAACATCACCAGTAATTAAGATTTATTAAAAATATTGGTTTTCATTTCTGTAATTTTAAAAATTTCATTCTGTAATTAAAGCAAAAAGATATGTGGAGCTTTGTGGCTCCTCAATGACTTATCCTCTAGTGCTGAGTATATGCAATACCAATTCTTAATACAAACATCCTACTTTTTATGTCTAATTTTTGTAAGGATTGTCTTAAAATGGGTTCCTTTGAGTTGTGCAGTTACTATCCCCTGAATATGCTATATTCTAATAGTACTATACAGTAACTCTCATCTGTAGAAATACACTAAGAGTAAACAATAGACCTATTTTGTTTTTTTAAGAGTTTATTTATTTGAGAGGTAGAGTTACAGAGAGAGGGAGAAACAGAGATAAAGGTTTTCCATCCGCTGGTTCACTCCCCGAATGACTGTAATGGCCAGAGCTGAGACGGTACAAAGCCAGGAGGTTCTTCCCAGTCTGCCATGTGGGTGCATGGGCCCCTAAAACTTGGGCCATCTTCTGTTACTTTCCCATGCCATAAGTAGAGAGATGGATTGGAAGAGGAGTAGCTGGGATGGAACCGGCACCCACATGGGATGCACGGGCCACAGCACCTGGCCCCCACAATAGTTAGTCTACCTAACAGTTGCAAGTGATTTAAGAGAAAACCCAAAGCCAGTGTTGTGGTTCAGCAGGTTAATTTGCCACCTGCAGTGTGCATCATTTCTTATATAGTTCCCAACTAATGCACGTGGGAAAGCAACAAAAGATGGCTCAAGTGCTTGAGCCCTTGCCAGCAATATAGAAGATGCAGATAGAGTTCTAGGTTCCTGGCTCCCATATAGATGGAAGATCTCTCTGTCTGTCCTCTACTCTATAACTCTGCCTTTCAAATAAAAAAATAAGTCTTTAGAGAAAAAAAAAAACAAAACTATAACCAAAAAGAAACTGCATATTCATTGCAGAAGCAATGGCTGTTGTGTTTTTTTAGTTATTGTCATCTTTATTTTATCAAAATTTAATGAGTTTTAGATAATATATCAAATTTACATATTTTTGAAAAAAAGCTTTGTATACAAGAAAGGTCACAATTGGAGAGTTTTAATAGCATTTTCTCATAATCATGAAGGAAGATACATGAACATAAACATTGCTGAGATTATCTAACTATTTTTTATTTTACAACGGAGAATGGGAGGGAAACACCATAGAAGCAGACGTGATTAGTCTTTATTACAGAAAATTTACCAGTATTTTGGTAAGAATCTAGGTTATTCCATTATATTTTAAAAATGACATCATAGGGCTGGCGCCGCAGCTCAATAGGCTAATCCTCCGCCTGTGGCGCCGGCACACCAGGTTCTAGTCCCGGTTGGGGCGCCGGATTCTGTCCCGGTTGCTCCTCTTCCAGTCCAGCTCTCTGCTGTGGCCCGGGAATGCAGTGGAGGATGGCCCAAGTCCTTGGGCCCTGCACCCGCATGGGAGACCAGGAGAAGCACCTAGCTCCTGGCTTCGGATAGGCGTGGTGCACAGGCCGCAGCGGCCACTGGGGGGTGAACTAATGGAAAAGGAAGAACTTTCTCTCTCTCTCTCTCTCTCTCTCTCTCTCTCTCTCTCGCTGTCCGCTCTGCATGTCAAAAAAAAAAAAAAAAAAAGACATCATATTGCAGTATTGCAATATCTGTATTTTCAATTAAAATCACAGAAAGTTTGTATCTAGATAAGAAATAAGAAATTTTGTATCTAGATAAAAAGAATAAAGAAGTTTTGTGCTATTTTATAAAAATTATAAATATGCATGGGGCCAAACCACCTGAACCATCTTCTGCTGTTTTCCCATGCACATCAGCAGGGAGCTGGATCAGAAGTAGAGCAGCTGGGACATGAACTGGTACTCATATGGGGTGCTGACATCTCAGGTGGTGGCTTTACCTGCTAAGCACAACACTGGCCCCAACAGTATTATTGTCTAGAAATATCTATCTGGTGATATGAAGCCTTTATTTTCCTATCTTGAGTGTATTCCTATATTTTATTTAAAATATGTTAATAAGGTTTTCTGATTTCCTGAAAATTTCTTCCATCAAATATTTTATATTTTTTTTTCTAATTCTCTAATTATTTTCAATTGATGCAAATACTTGGTAAGATCAACATTTTACTAAAGCATGGACAAAAAGTGATAGTGTAGGTGAGTGGTCAGGTTGAGGTAGAGAAAAATACACAGAGAATATGAGAAAACCTGAGAAAATGACAGGCCATAGAGATGGAATAGGAAGTAAAGCATTGTATCTTTTATAGTAACTGAAAAGTGTTCATGATTTACAAATGAACCTCAAAATTTTATGACCTCAATTTCTGAATAATTGTATATTAACTGACCCTAAATTTAGTTCTTTTTCTAATATTTCTACCACACTGTTTCAATTTAGGGTTTCCTCCATGGAAACTCATTTCATACCATAAAAGATCAATATTGGTCAAAAATATAAATTAAAAACACATGTATGCTTCATTATTCATTTATTAAGTTTTTTTTTTAATTAATTGATGTGAAGGTCGGAGTTAGAGAGGGAAGGAGAGACAGAAAGAGAGATTATCCATCTGCTGGTTCACTCCCCAGTTGATCACTTCAGCCAGACTGGGCCAAGCTGGAGCCAGGAGCCAGGAGCTTCATTCTGGTCTCCTACATCAGTGCCGGTGCCAAGGCACTTGATCTGTCTTCTGCTGTTTTCCCAGGCACAATAGCAGGGAGCTGGATCAGGAGTAGAGCAGCTAGGGCTCAAACGAGCACCCATATGGGATGCTGGCACTGCAGATGGCGGCTTAACCTACTGCGCCACAACACTGACTCCAGTTGTTATGTTTTAAACTAGACCTCCAATATGTAGCATTATTGGTTTGTAGATTTTTTTCCATGAGCCTGCCTGAGGTGTCCAGTAGTGTTTATACTGGTTAATCGTCCTGAATCAACATAGCTGTTCATATACATATTTGCTCATTTCTCTTAAAATTTGCTCATTTGTATTAAAACATTTTATGGTATATGGATTGCTTCATAAAGTCTTTGGATTTCTTATTGGAGGAAACATT